AGATAAAGCTCTCCCTTTTTAATTTAATTGGCATATTTTTAATTGAATTTATTTATTGGTCCATTTATATATTTCTGCTTTTTTTTCTAGTTATGTCAGTGTCGGTCCTCCATACTGCAGAACTTCATGAGGTAATTCAATGTCTGAATCRGGTGTGTTGGAGCAGGAAAAACATAAAACCTGTAGGGCTGCGGGCCTCGAGGATCAGGATTGCCCACCCCTGCCTTAAACTCTCATATGAAGAATCTGTTAATACTAAATATAGGTAATGAAATGCGTTTGGCAGACGCTGATTTCTCTAAAAATGGACGTTAAAAATACGCTGTAATATGTGACCCATCACATCGAAATGAGGATTAAGTCCAAAAGTGGAATGTGGAGAAATAGGGTTTTGATAACGTGTGCAAAAATTGCATTTTGTTAAAACATAATGAATTAATGTTTTATCAATGTATCATTTGAATGAACTTTCTGAAATATAATCCAAAAACAAATTTTTTGAGCAGCACCAACAAAAAACCTGATTTTGAGGAAAAACACGCTAAAATTTAAAAATTTTCCATGTGAGCTAGCAATGTTTTTGTTTCTTCTCAACTGGGAAATGTTAATATACAAATACTATTTGAGGTTTCCTCTTTATATTTACATCAAAAATTCATCAATAAATTTATATAAAATTAGGATTCAGACCAAATGTTAATGTATTATTGTAAACAACAAGACAAATTAAGACATATCTCTGGATAAGCTTATGAGAATGATCCAGGTATGAAAATGTAGCTTTTAAAGCCAGGAATTTGAAAATTTAATTAAGTCATTCGGACCAAATTTGACTTAATCCTCATTTCGTTATGATGGGTCGCATAATAGTAAAGCTGCATTCATGACCTTAAGCAGCTCCGCCCACTTTTTTGTACTTTTTAAACATAAGCAGCGCTACCGTAACTCGCTTCTAATCATTTGTTTTCATTAACACTCCTGTGTGTCCTTTGGCACAGAGAAGCAGTGCTTAGAGCTATTGCCTCGCAGCCAGAAGGTTGCAAGTTCAAACCCTGCCGGATGCTTTCTGGGTAAAGTTTGGATGTTCTCCCCATGCACATTTGGGTTTTCTCTGAGCACTCCGGTTTCCCCCCCAACTGACCAAAAACATGCAAATTAGCTTATTTGGTGACTCTAAATTGTGCCTAGGTGAGAGTGATGGTGAATGTTTGTCTCGTTTGTTTCTACGTGTCCCTGTGATGGACAGTTGACCTCCTCAAACAGTCACTGCTGGAGAAACGGATGGATGTTCTTTGGTATCTTTCAGGGGGTTGAGTTATTTTCATTTTATCTTCCTACTGTAAACCACAAAACAGTCCACAAAAAGACAATGTTTGGACAAGATGGTGACCTTCGTTGAGTAATATGTGATGAAAGAGACGGGTATTTTTTACATAAATGAAGAACAGACAATACAATAAACTACAATAAAATATTTATAAAAGTATTAAGTACTGTATTTATTCGTGTATAATATGATCTCATGTACAATACGACCCCCACTTTTTTGAGCTTAAAAAGCTTAAAAAATTTAATCCTCAAACTATCTCCAATTTCATACAGACTTCAAGATTTTTCAGCCTTTGCAGTCTTTATACATCCATCCATCCATCCATCCATTTTCTTCCGCCTATCCGGGGTCGGGTAGC